ACATGGTTCTGTACCTCACTTCCTTAAGGTCTTTGCTCACATGTTACTTTATTAGATGCACCTTCCTGGCCACCTTATTTAAAAAAACAAACCATCCATTCCACAGTCCAATACACCCTGTCTTCCTATCCTGCTACATTTTTCTTTGTAGGACTTTAGACTTACTATCATATTATTGTTGTTGTTCAGTCTCTCAGTCATGTCCAGCTCTTTGCAACCCCATGTACTGCAGCACACCAGAATTCCTTGTCCTTCACTATCTCCTGGAGTTTGCTCAAACTCATGTTCATTGAGTCGGTGATGCTATTCAACCATCTCATCCTCTGTCTCCCCCTTCTCCTCTTGCCCTCAATCTTTCCCAGCATCAGGGTCTTTTCCATCAGGCGGTCAAAGGATTGGAGTTTCAGCTTCAGCATCAGTCCTTCCAATGAATAGTTAGGCTTGATCTCCTTTAGGATTGACTGGTTTGATCTCCTTGCTGTCCAAGGGACTCTCAGCCTCACACAGTTCAAAACCAGCAGGTCCTCAGCGCTCAGCCTTCCTTACGGTCCAGCTCTCACATCTATACATGACTCCTGGGAAAATCTGGAATTTCTGTACATGACTTTTCTTGAATTTACAGTCATGTAGGAAAAACTGGAAAATTTCCAATAGTCATTTTACTAAATACTTTCATTTATTTTTTTATATAACACATACATGTGACTACAAGCTCCATGAAGGCAAGCATTTTGTTTTGTTCACTGTCTGGTTTACATCGCCAAACTCAAAAACAGTGTCTGACACACAGTAGACACCATAAATAGTACTCTGAATGAATAAACCAAAGTGAAGCAAGTTACGTGCATTACTACCCCAACTATGGAAAAACATTTGCTTCTAAGAAAAAATTTAGTGATAGTAATATTTATGCCAAAGTTTTGGGGTATAACTCTCTTTTCTGAAGTTTCTTTAAAGTAATTGCACTACTTCTATACATATTTAAATATCAGCATCATTTGCCTACTATAAGTATTAAGATAAACTAATGCAATAAATCAGATATTTTCTGATTTATTTTCAGACATTTTTCCATTCATTTTCAGGTATTTTCCTGGAACATTTTTTTCAAGTTTGCTTAATGGATTTTACTTGAGATGAAACAAATGCACAGTGAGCTGATATGTCTTATCCTAGGGAATTTTAGTGGCTTGTGATTGCAAATCCCCATAAACTGATCACATTAAAAAATAAACCTTTAATTCCAGAATAGTTTGATTTATAGAAAAATTGCAAAGATAACAGAGAATTCCCATGTAATCCACACTCTTCCACCTATTATTAATATCTTTCATTAATATGCCACATTTATCTTATTAACCAACATTGATACATGATTATTCACTCAAGTCCTTGCCTTATTCATATGTTCTCGGTCTTTACCTAATATCTCTTTTTTGGTTCCAGTCTCTCCTCCAGGATATTATACCACATTAGTCATCCTGTCTACCTGGGCTCCTTTTGGCTGTGACTATTTCTTAGACTTTCCCTCTTTTTGATGATCTTGGCACTTTTGAGTGGTATTGGTAGCTATTTTGTAGAAAGTCCTATTGAGATTTGCTTTGTGTTTTATTCCATGATTAGATGGATTATGGATTTTTGAGAGGAATATCACAGAAAGTGCCATTCTCAACACATCATATCAAGGGTGCGTGCACGCTAGCTAAGTTGCTTCTGACTCTGAGACTCCATGGACTGTATCCCACAGGCTCCTCTCTCTATATGCCACATCTTCTTTATCCATTCATCTGTTAATGAACATTTAGGCTGCCCCCATATCTTGACAATTGTGAAAAAATGGTGCTATGAACATCAAAATGCGTGTATCTTTTAAAATGGTTTTTTTTTTTTGGATATATACTCAGGAGTGGAATTGTTCAGTCATCTAATAGTTCTATTGCATGAATACTCTTAAAAGTTTTATCTTTGCAATATATAGCAAAGAGCTCTAGCTCCTCAAGTAACCTCTTAATTGTTATGCTTTCTCTTGATGAAGACAATTCCAATCCCATCCAACACTCCCACGGACACTCCTGCCAGGCACTGAGGTGGTATGTCCAGTTGTCTATAAAATTAAGTCCAGCCTTGCTAGTATGGTTCTGAGATTTCCTGGACAGCAAGTAACTGCTGAAGCAGGCTACTTACCATGCCTTCAGCATTCACACTTTCCCTGCTGCTGCCTTGAAAGTCTTTCTCTCTGCCTCTTCCTTAAATCCCTAATTCACTGACCATGAGTCTGCAGAAATTTCCCTCATCCCACAGCAGAAATAACTTCTCATTCCTTGTTCTCACCAGGCTTGTCCCTGGACCACAGACCTGCTTCATTCTGTCTCCTGGTTTTGCACATCAGCTTAATATCCTCTATTAAACTCTTGGTTTCTGGAAGCCAGGTTATCTTATCACACAGCCATAATGCCTTCCATTATAGGACTTCAATAAATGTCAGATCGAATCAGCCCAGTTTGTATTTGAAAATGTCAACTGTTTGATTGACTCATTTCCTACTTGCTTCTGAGTGGCGTTATCCATCTATACATTTGTTCTTCCAATATTACCAATGAGATTTCACTTTGTCCTCCTATTTTATGCAGAGCTTTATTTATTTCAGCTGACAGATCAATAATGCATGGTGAGATTCACAGGTCAGGCCTCCTCCTGGTCCTTCTGATGGAGATGCTACCTGTATCTCTACCTTTGAAATAATGGAAGAGTTGGACCACTCTACCTCTTTTGGCTGGGTCACCTTGGACTGGTGACACAAACCCTCTGGGCCTCTGTCACAGGGCATTTGAGAAAATTATTGAGGTTAGGAATAGAAACCGTTGACCATAAATAGTAAGTATTAACAGGGACTGGGAACTCTGTGTATGTTATGTGTACATCATGTTTACTTTTCACAACAGACTTAGGATGTAACTATTCTTATGCCCATTTTACAGTTCAGAAAACAGGCACAGATAAGCTAACTAGCAATCCAGTGCTATACAGAAGGTGAAGACAAGATCTCGAATTCAGACCCAGAGCAGTCAATCCCCACTCTCTGTTCCCCACTAAGTCCTTTGTGAAATAGCTGCCCCCAAAACTTAAATATTGGCTCTATTTATATGGAGGGAATATATACAGGAGATTACCCGAAACCACTGTTGCCTCACATTTTCTCAGGTCCTCAAAAAGAAAATGACTCAGCAAATACTGAGTGTCTAATATAGTCAAGGCATGAGCAGGATTCTTGCAAAGTCAATTCAAATCCTAATATAAATGAGCTCCTTGTTTCTGACATATGACGTCTTTCAACATATCTTTCACTGTAGTGGAAACTCCTGCTTGAAGGACCAACTTCAGTACATGCTTCTGCGGGTAACACTGTGAGCACCGGGCTTTATAAGAGAGGATATCTGTGGTCTGTGTCACGCAAACTCATACTCTTCATGAATAGTCCCTCATTCCACCGATCAAAACCCCATGTGACACCTTGAGAGTCCTAAAAGTGAATGACTGGTACTAGGATATAAAATAATTGGAGATGCTGGTTTAAAAAAAAAAAAACACTAGTCAAACAGAGAGTAAAGTCCAGTCTTGTTAACCCAAATTCTGGCAATTGATTATGACCCCATCAACAGACTATATTATTGACAAAATCCAAGCCTGGACTTCTCAAAGAGTGCCGTGATATCCAAGTGACCATGAGCTATGGGAGACCATAACTATTAACTAATTACTTTGACTGGTAATGCTGATGACTCTCCTTGCACAGTTAATACTTGGGAGATGTTTCTGCTTTTGATTTCCTTTTAGCCAAACCAGTGGCTATTGTTGTAAATCCTCAACCCGGGGTGATAATGCCCCGATGGGACATTGTTGGTTGTCACCATTGCAAAGGGTTGCTACTAACATCAAGTGCATGGAGGCCAGGGATGCTGCAAAACATCTGACAATGCACACACCAGCACCCCCAGCAAAGAATTCTCCAGCTCAAAATGTCAACAGCTGAGGCCGAGGAACCCTGGTGGAGCTGCATGCTCTGTTCCTCAGTTCTTCCATTCAGTGGTGAGAATGCATAATACAGTGACATTTTGAAATCTTAAATGTTTTGTCCAAATGAACACCACATGTAAATGTGTAGATCTTCGGAACGCTTTCAGTCCCCTTTGGCATGGAGGTTGCCAGTGTCTTAGGAACTGGGTGGGTGGGATGGACAAACACACAAATGCACACAAGCCCCTCATGTTTCTGAATTTCTCTTCTGCCCATGCCCTGTTTTAAAATTTTCTTTTTTGGGCTTCCCTGGCGGCTCAGTAGAAAAGAATCTGCCCGCCAGTGCAGGAGACATGGGTTCGATCCCTGATCCGGAAATATCCCACAGGCCACGGAACAACTAAGCCCATGCACCACAACTCTCGAGCCTGTGCTCTAGAACCCTATGTGCAGCAACTACTGGGCCACATATTGCAGCTACTGAAGCCTGCATGACCTAGAGCCTCTGCTCCATAACAAGTGAAGCCTGCCCACCACAACCAGAGACTATCCCCACTCTCTGAAACTAGAGAAAAGCCTTTGCAGCAACAAAGACCCAGCACAGTCAAAACTATAAATACAAAAAAAAAAAAAAAATTTCCCCTTATATCAGCATTGTCTATCTTCTCAGCTTAGAGCTGCTCAGGGCTTAAAGTATTTAGAAGAACCAGGTTAAAACTGTGCTTTAAATGCAATTTCAGAGGCTTTTTCACAATCAAACAGCTAAAGGAGGGAAAGAGAGACAAGGTCAGGAAGAGGACAGGAACTTAAGTCTGTCCACAATAGGTTGGTTTGTGAAACTTTGTACTATTCCAAGGCCAGACTAGGGTCTTCTTCTGATATTCATCACCCTGCCCTCTGCTTGTCACAGCCTCCATCACAAAATGATACACTTTTTTTTAAAGTATAATTTTTTTTAATTTAAAGTAAAATTTGAAACTAGGAAATGGAAAGCTCATGGTTTTTAATGAGCCTCAACTAAGGTCTCTCAAACTTACCATGTCAATCACATTCACTATTCACATAGAGTAAAAGGTCTATTTATTTTCAAGTGTCATGGAAACATGACATTTATGACAATTCCATCTTTGGTCTGTACACTGGTGGTTTGTTGGTAGCTTCCTTGCCTTCAGCTTCTCTCTTCCTTCAGCTTGATTCTCATTCATTCATCCTTTCCACAAATATCCCCTGGGGTATCTTGCTTTCTGCTGCAGAGACTCCAGAGGGAAAGTGGGAATGTTCTCATCTCATGGGAACGCACAGAGCTCTTCCCTTCCTTTCCCTGTTGGGGCTGGGGAGGTTTCCTCTTCGTAGAGTGAGGACCAACCTGGAGAAACAGAGGAACAGAACTTTCCTATTAGGAATATCTCAACATCACCCCTCAGATGCCCATCCTCCATTCCTGCACCCTGCTGAGTGTTCCTTCAAGTGCTACTTCTTCCTAACCTACTCACATCGGCTTCGCTTGTTTTTAATTAATAACATCAAGAAGATCCGTCTTCTGTTACTCACGGAGTTTTCAGCTCTCTACATGTGTGTGTTAAAAGTTTAAGTCGACCACGGTGGGGAGTGATGCCAGGGGTGGATTTAAGCTGGACCTTGAAATTCTGTGAACCTCTGTGCCAATAACATCTCCCCACTCTGGTCTGTAAACACATGCAGGGCCACCAAGTAGCGACCCATCCCTAAGGGTCAGTGTCAGGAAATCAGCGAGTCTGTGTCTTCATGCCTCCTTCAGGAAGCAATGTTTCAGGGGAGGAAAACGTACTTTTCAGCTCCCAAATTTTCCTCTAGATGGTTAAAAGGAAAAATGCCATCTCTCGGCTCCCACCCTGAGAAGAATGCTGCAGGGCCGCCTGGGCTTTGCTAATAAAAGCGGAAAGTGTAAAAGGTTTGGCGATGACTGGCTTTCGCCCTTGGACGGAGAAATGAGATCACGGTTTTCACGAAGGACAAGAACCGCCGCTGCCGCCACCGCGGAGTCTGCCGCTTCCTCTCCCAGCGCGGGTCCTGTATTACATCACCGGTGAGCTCCTGGGGGGTCAGGGGCAGCGGAGGCTCCACCTGGGTCGCAGCCCCCCGACTCCGGAAGATAAACACAAAACAGCAAGGGTGTAGGGGGAGGGGGCGAACGAGAGGGAGAAGGAAAAAGGAGGACCAGGTTTCCCACCACCCCTCTGAATGTGAGGAGGGTGTTGCACTGGCGTCTGGTCCTTAAGCAGCCGCACCCCAAATTTCATTCCCGCATCGCACCCCCCCCAATTCCCCACCCGCCCTCTACTCTCAATTACGACATCCAAAGCGGCCAGGGAAGTCGCCTTGAGAGGCCCAAGGGGGACTGGGCAGAGAGGCTCCCAGGGACTGGGAGGGACCGCTACGCCCGCGCCTCCTCGGGGGAGTGGGGGGGCGGGGGATGCGGCTGCCGCTGCGCCCCCGCCCGGCCCAGCAAGCGGTGCCTCCCCCGCCAGGCGACAGCAGCCGGACGGGGGCGGCAGAAGCGCCTCCTCCCCGCCCGGAGCCGAGACGGCGGCGCAGGGGGAGGAAGACGCCTTACCTTGCCCCCGATGAGGGGCGGATCATGCTATGGCAGCGCCGGCGAGCGACAGCGGCGGCGGCGGCTGCGGCGATCGGAGCCCAACCAGCAGCCCCGGGAGCTCGACCGGAGCCGGGGGCGCCGCGGCGCGAGCCCGGGACGGCGGGGACTCGGGAGCCCGGAGCGCCGCGGTGACGGTCCCCGTCCTCCCTCCGCTCGAGGACTACGAGTGCAAAATCTGCTACAACTACTTCGACGCAGACCGGCGCGCGCCCAAGCTGCTGGCGTGCCTGCACACCTTCTGCCAGGAGTGCCTGAGCCAGCTGCAGCTCCGCTGCCGCCGCCGTCCTCCGAGGACGCGGCTGGAGGACCACACGCCCGCGCCGGCCTGCGCGCGCCGGGCAACTACGAGAGCTGCCAGAACTGCAAGCGCGCCGCGCTCACCGCCGGCTGCGTGTGCGTCGTCTTCTCCTTCCTCTCCATGGTGGTGCTGCTCTTCACCGGCCTCATCTTCGTCAACCACTACGGCGGCGGCGGCGGCGGGGCCCCCCCGGGGGGCGGGGCGCCCCCTGGTGCAGCCCCCGCAGCCGGCTCGCCCTCGCCCTCGCCCGTGGGGCCCATCTGCCTGTCGGTGGCCAGCATCCTGGCGCTCTTCTCGGTCGTCATCACTTGGATCATCTGCTGGCTCAAGTACCGGCCCGAGGGCGCGGCCCCGGGCTCTGCAGGGGGCGGTGGCGGCCCGAGGGCGCGGGCTGCGGCAGCGGCGAGCGGCGCGCGGAGGAGCGGCACGTAGCGGGGCCGCACGCCTGGCCTCCCTCGCGCACCTGCAGCCCCGCGCGGCCCTAATGGTGGGGGCCTCTGGTCCCGTTGCGTTCGAGCTTCTCCGCCCTCTCCCCTCCGGCCCTGGACGCGCACCCCCTCGCCGCCTGGCCATTGAGGAGCCTCGGTTTTCCGCCTCTCTGGCCTTTCCCGTCCACTTCGCGCTGGGCCAGAGAGGGAAAGCGAGGAGGCAGGGATGCGGGTGGGGAGTCGCGTCTCCGTGGACTCTTCAAGGTCAGCCCCCTCCATGCATCGCCCTCATCCTCGCCAGAATGCACAACCATCCCTCTCCGGAGTGCGAAGATTTGCAAAAAGAGGAGTGGGACACCCATGGCCCCGCGTGGAAGCTGGTTTTCTGACTGCCGTGACTTGGGCGTTTCTTTAAGCTTATGGGTGCGCGCGCGCGCACACCCGCAGCAGTTATGAATGGACTTGAGTTGTCCTGAGGAAGAACTAATGAGATGTGAACGTGAGAGAAAGGCCTCCCTGCCCCCTGGAGGTCCTGGAGGGTGAGTGAGCCGGATCGCTGGGAGTGATGTACAGCCTTCGGGGGCGTCACGCGTGGGGACGCTGAATAGAACAACGGCCCAGCATCCGTGCGCAATTGAGCCGGTGCTCAGCGCGCGTGCGCGCCCTCATCTGCCTCCAGATTATTTCGAGCAGAACGGTGGTGAAGCGCCCTGGGCGGTGGATCCTTCTGTTAGTGGCCCGACAGAGTCCAAGAAGTCCCACCTCCTGGAAACTTGGGATCGGTTTATTCTCGATGTTGCTACCAGGAAGTCATTTCATCTTCTGTAACTGGACTCAGGGAACTTCAAGAGCCCGTTCTCTCTTCTCTCAAAACTGACTTACTGTTGCCCCCACCTGGAAGATACTGAAAGCTATTCGCGCAGAATAGAAACTGTAGGCTTCCCCTGCCTTTTTTCTTAATTTCATTTTTAAAATAATTTATTTTAGAGTATATAAATCTGGAAAATTTGTGCATTAAAATTTCTGGAAAAGTTGTTTGATAAGCAGTAATATTCCTGCCGTACCTCTAGTCCGAATACATTTCGAAATGAGGGGCATACAATAAACGCGTGTTGATTCAAGATTTTATACTGTGAAATAACTGATTTTCAATTATCTGATTAAAAAAAATACTGCCCAAAGACAAAACCGATAAATCAAGTACCAAGTCTTTCTTCCTTTGATTACAAATATACATTATTTTGAATGTAGCTGTTTGATATTGATTTGATATTAGAAATCACTGAAGTGTTCACTTCTCATCACATTAGATGAAAAAGAATACATATCTATCCTGTTTTGTAACTAAAAAGATGAATTGGAGTGTATGTTGCAGGTGGATTTGATGCTTTTTTTAAAGAAAAAAAAAACAGTTGTTCTAAATGTGTTTTATATGAAAACATTCTTTATTCCATCTTTTGAAATTTGGAATAAGACAAAGTTTTCATGCCTAAACACCACAGAAGCTACTGAGGGTATGCTGTTATTCCTCATGTATTTATGCAAGCTGTCTGCATGATATCCTGACACTATTCTATTAACTGAACTTGAATGGAGCATTTGTATCTATCATAGAGTGAAGTGATTTACTGGCCATTGACAAGTGGTATGGCTGCAATTTAGGAATTGCAATATGATGTGTTTTATGTCTGCACTGTCAATAAAAATAAGCATTTCTAGAAAAACCTATTTTCATGAAACGTATTTCATGGGAAAATCGCTCCATGTTATTTGGGCCGCACTTCTTTTTCTGAAATACATATATCCTCATCCAGATTCTAACTTCACATTTTGAATAGGACTGAGAGAGAAATAATTCACATGTGGGAATGCACTGCAAGGACATTTCATGGAATTACTGGAACTCCTAAAGGCCAAGTGAGATCTGTTGTATTTTAAAGTTTTACCCACCCACTACTATAAAATTCCCCTAAAATGAAACTCTGTTGTCAGATTTTGTTCTCAGTTTCTGTAAAATGTTTTCAGGTTCCTAATATGAACAATCACATTCCAGAGATTGGTTTTAATTTACTTTTACCTCCAACAAGTTACTTATGCTATTTTAATTTCTATATTCATTTTTATCTTTTATACTGTTTGCCTCCAGTGCTGAGATTCTAGCATTCACATATGTTCAGTGGTACAAGTGCAAACTACACATGTATGTATAGTACATGCTAGTCACAGAACTTGGCTTTGTGGATGTAACCATGTGTACATCCACATGTGGGCACGCCCATGTGTTTGTTATTTCATTCCCTCAAATTGACAACCTAGAAGTCTGTCTAAAGTTACTTGGGGACCAGCTTGCTTGAGTTTGTGTTCCAGAGAGGAAGGTAAAACAATGACATAAACTGAATTATTGCTCATAAAAATCTTTGAATTGCCTGAGTCACAATACAAGCCACATTGCACATCTTTCATAGGTTGTATACATGTAAAGCTCTTATAATGAGAAATGTGAATACTTTAAAATCAAGTAGATACAATTAGGAGCTCAGAACCTGAACCTGGAGAGATTGTTGGGTTTTTTTTTTTTTTCTTCGCTAACTTTTTTGCTTTGTTTAGTGCTAATTTCTGAGTTCTTTATCAGGAATTGAGTGGCAGGATAAGGTGATGGAAAATATTTTTCCAACTTCGAGTGGTTTTCTGGCATTCAGGTGCCCCCCATTTTGCAGATATAATATCATCATTTCCACCTCCTGTGGAAAGTCCTGGAATACCATCAGTATTTAGCAGTAATTTAGCAGTAACTGTTGAAGTGACCAAGGAGATGTCTGCAGGAATCTTGTAACGATGGAAGACTCCTTTCTTGTGGAAATGCTGTAACTCAGCCCTGAGCACATCTCTAGCTCATGAGTATGAACCACCAGTAAAGTCACTGCAAAATGCCAGACTTGGTCTGGGCTGCACACATGCTCAAGAACTTGTGGTTTCCATGGTCCAGGTTCTGCTTATGCTCTGAGACTGTTAGGTAGAATTATTATAATTAGGTAGAATTATCATGAGGCTTCAATAGCATCTAAATTTCAAGTGAAAGAAACTCATCTTGGAGTGATAGATTAAATACTTGGCCTCTGAATGTAATGCGATTTGGTGAACAGGGTCCACATTCATAAAGTACATCGGTTTGGATTCTAAAAATCAGTAACATCATCAGCTGTTATGAGTCTGAAAACTGGTTTTCTCTTTTCTTGGAAGGACCTTGACAAGTCATTTAACTTCTTTGAGTCTCAGGTTCCTCATCTACAAAATAGGAACAAAATTTTGGGGTTGATATAAGGACTTGTATACAAAAGAGGGAATACAGGTGAAAATACTTCGGAAACAATCCCTATGTGGATCTATAGTTTTGCTTCCATTCAGGCTTGCAAGGGTCCAATATCACCTCCCCCAGAGAAGGGCTTCAGTCTATGGGGTCACAAAGAGTCAGACACGACTGAGCTCAGAGAGATCTACCCCGACCACTCTATTCCTAAGGGAACATCTACTGAAGTTTTCTTTTTTCTTACTACTACTATCTGCAGTGGCCTCATTTGTTATATGCTTTATCTCAATCTCCTATAACCAGAATGGAAAACCAAGAGAAGAAAACTTTTCTGGTTACCTACTCTATCCACAAAAACCTTTAACCCGCTGTAGGTATATGGTAAGTGACAGTTAACTAGTCTCTTGACTTGACTTAATGGGACACCCTGTACTAAATGTTAGATGCCTTGGCTTCCTTTATGCACACTGCTACTCAGTAACTCCTGAAACCCTGGGGGACTTAGGTAAACAATTGGTTTTCCCAACTTCATCTGGAGTTTTCAAAGGTGAAAAAATATACCCCCAAAGCATCTTGAGTTTTGATAAAAATCAGTTCAAGCACAATGAAACTCTAGTTGCAATATAGTCAGTGCAAGTAGACACGAAGAAACCAAAAGACATTTGGCTTCCATTTCCAGTCATTTTCTGCACTGCAAGATTTCAAGATGTGATGCCTTTTGGCTTCCTTCTTTATGTCTGAACCATCCGCTGCAAAGCCAGCAGCACCTACATGTTTGGGATAAGTTTACATTACAGTGAAATTTCCTCACAACATTTAGGTTAAGATCTATCAGATTTCTCATTATTTGTTACCCCCTGTTTTATTAATTTTTCAGTCTTTGCCACTTTACATAAATTATCCTTCATAGACTGGCTAAATTTATAATCTCAGTAGCTGAGTAATCCCCCATTAGTCTGTGATCCAACTCATCCTCTTTAATCACTTAATTCCTATTAGCTAATATTGTATTTTAAAGTTCTGTTATGATACAAAGACCATTATGTTCATGCCTTGGGCATTGAACTGCATCCTTGTTAAAGGTAAATTGCATACTTCTTTCTTTGAAATAATATGTTTTTTATTGTATATGTTATAGTGTGAGTTTGTAGAATAGTATTTGCTAAATATTTCTGAAATGAGTATTAGAAATGACTGCAGTCAGATCTTAGTTCTGAGTTATATGAATAAAGAAATCATGAGAGATTTTATCTATTTTTTTTTTTTGCTAGATTTGTTCATTTAAGGAAAGGTTTGTAATACATACCCTTAGCATTGTTTCTATCCATCAGCCACACCTGAGGCTTCCTTTCTCTTACCCAAAACTAAACTATGCCAAAGAGAGGCAAATTTTTTTCTGTCATAAATTCACCATCATTCTTGAAA